CCCGCCACAACGCCCGACTATTTTTTGGTTGCAGCCATCGTTGTTTGGCAGGCCTGGGCTGGATTCGAACCCGCCATGTTAGGTGTATGTGGCTGGCGCCTTAGCCACTTGAGCCACAGGCGCCGAGCCTAAACATAGTCTTAAAGCCCCTTTGCCTTGTTGAAAGGTATTTTTATCAAATACCCGGAGTTTCTTTCCACTTTAACTTTTCACATTTGTAGAGGCTCAGTAAGCTGAGCAGCTGTAGAGTGGGCAGTATCTGGGGTCTCAGGGTGTGTCTCTTCCTCTCAGGTAAAATGATGCGCTGTGTGCGCTGCCCTGTTGCCTATCACGGTGGAGATGCCTGTCTGGCAGCAGGGTGCTCAGTCATCGCTTCCAACAGCATTGTCTGCACAGCCCACTTCACAGCTCGCAAGGGGAAGAGGCACCATGCCCATGTCAATGTGAGCTGGTGCTTCGTGTGCTCTAAAGGTGAGGACCTGGGGTGCCAGCCACGCGTAGCTCCTTGCCAGGCAGCCCGACCTACCCCCTCGGAGGCCTGTACCCACCTTATTCTTGCTTTGTTCATTGATGTTCAAGTTTTCCATGTGTTCAAACCTGCTAGTGTAGCAGGTATTTCCACATTCACTGTGGTCATTTCACAGATTTATGGGAAATTATTAATGGTAAAAATAAAATTAGTTTTTATCTTACCACTTTCAAACTGATGATGAAGAGATGAACATGCAGCTCTGAACTGTGAAGAGCCACAGCTGGGCTGGCTGCACTGGGCAGGCTGAGCCCACCTCACCTCTTTTGCAGGGGGGAGCCTCCTGTGCTGTGAGTCCTGCCCAGCAGCCTTCCACCCTGACTGCCTGAACATCGAGATGCCTGACGGCAGCTGGTTCTGTAACGACTGCAGGGCTGGGAAGAGATTGCACTTCCAAGATATCATCTGGGTTAAACTTGGGAACTACAGGTGTGAGAGACAGAATTATCTGTTTCTGTGTCTGTTTTTGTTGAAATGTGTTTCACTTTACAGTACTTAACGTATTGAAATTATTGTCACTCTCTCTGAGGAGTCTGTGAATCCTGTTTTTAATATTTATAATAGATGGTGGCCGGCAGAAGTTTGCCATCCCAAAAATGTTCCCCCAAATATTCAGAAAATGAAGCACGAGATTGGAGAATTCCCTGTGTTTTTCTTTGGGTCTAAAGATTATTACTGGACGCATCAGGCTCGAGTGTTCCCGTACATGGAGGGGGACCGGGGCAGTCGCTACCAGGGGGTCAGAGGGATCGGAAGAGTCTTCAAAAACGGTACGGAGATCTCCAGAGAATGGGTAGCACTCTCGTGAGCTTTGTTAACCCTGACCTCTGCCTTTTGAAATTTCTTCCTTGTAGAAAATCCTGGACTAAGCATTCTATCTATACTTTTAAATTAGAAAAAAAAAAGTAAGTTTGCAGATTGTTTTATATTTGTTGAGGCTTGGAATGGAACAAGATACACTTCTAACTTGTGTGTTGTTAGTTCATGATTAATTTCATTAAAATGCAGTGAAGCTATTTTTAAGAAGTTACTTTTAGTGCCAATTTATAAAAAGTTTTCTAGCTTTGCTATGTGTAATATGCAGGCTTGGAGGAAAGTCTCCTATTCTCTAGACCATATACACCTCACTCTCTGTGGGTCCCTTTACCTTTCAACAGGCAGAGCTGGGCATCGGGGCCTCACCAAGGGTCCGGTGGAGTGGGTGGACAAGAGTGCTCTGCCTCTGATCCTAAAGAAGCAGAGGAGCCACAGTTGGGTGTTCTTTCAAAAATACTGCAAATGAGAGGTGGCCCACTGTGTTTGGTGTGGCAGTTAGCTGGTAAGCTGTGGGGTCTCCTCACTCTGGACATGTCCTGTAGAGGCAGACTCATCAGTGATGCTGGCAGCTGTCCACACAGGGCAGACCGCAGGGCACAGCTGTCCTTTCAGGGCAGATTTTGGTTGTTTGTTTCCTCTTGTGAGAGTCTGTGGTTCACTTCTCAGAACCCTGTAGAAACAAAGTTGCATTTTCTTTCTCAAAGTTGCATCTTAGGACATTGAGTCCTGGGTGTTCATCTGGTGCTTCGTCCTCAGACCACAGCAGAGGTGGGAATGCCCAACAGAAGCCTTCTTGGGGCCTCCTTGCTAGGAGCTGCTGAAACTGGTGCAAAGCAGCACCCAGGGGCCACCAGCCACCTAGACGATACTGACACTCTTCTGTTTAAAACATTTTACAGCATTGAAAACACTTGCCTTTTTATAGTTTTCCATAGCCTCTAGCTGTCTTTCTTTTCTTTGTTTGTTTGTTTGTTTTTTTTTTTAAGACAGAGCCTTAAGCTGTTGCCCTGGGTAGAGTGCTATGGCGTCACAGCTCATAGCAACCTCAAACTCCTGGGCTTAAGCGGTTCTCTTGCCTAAGCCTCCCAAGTAGCTGGGACTACAGGAGCCCACCACAATGCCCAGCTATTTTTTTGTCATTGTTGCTGTGGCTGTCATTGTTTGGCAGGCCCAGGCTGGATTCCAACCCACCAGCTCTGGTATATGTGGCTGGTACCTTAGCCGTTTGAGCTACAGATGCTACCCCATAATCTCTAGCTTTATGGGAACTAGAAACTACTTACTAGTAGAATTTAGAGTAAGTCATTAAACTATTGAGCTTAAAAGGTAGATGTATTTATTTACTAAAATCTTTACATTTCATTGACTTTTTAGCGCTGCAAGAAGCTGAAGCTCGTTTTCGTGAAATTAAACTTCAAAGGGAAGCCCGAGAAACACAGGAGAATGAACGCAAGCCCCCACCCTACAAGCACATCAAGGTGATACATCAGAGCTCTGTGTGTGTGTACGTGTGTGCGTGCGCCAGGCATGCACCTGCACAGGCTGTGCTGCAAAGGACACTGCAGGCAAATAGCTGATGCTGTCACCAACAACAACTATGTGTATTTTTCATATAGGTTCACTGTGTGCAAGGTCATACTGTCCACCTGGGGGACTTGGTTTTGCCTTAGAGCGTGAGGCTCAGCTTGGTGGCCAGAGAAGGGCTGGAATGACAGTTCTGTTCAGCTGTCTAGAGCAAGTGAAGCTGAGGGACCAGCCCCCCACCCCCCAACCATGCTGTCACCACATGCTAGAGATAAGCTTGGATAAGAGTGGGTCTTTCGTGGCTAGTTTCACCCTCACCATGGCATCATAGTTCACAGCAACCTCAAACTCTTGGGCTCTAGTGATCCTTTGCCTCAGCCTCCCAAGTAGCTGGGACTACAGGCACCTGCTACAATGCCTAGTTATTTTTAGAGATGAGGTCTCACTTTGGCTCAGGCTGGTCTCGAAATTGTGAGCCCAGAGTGCTGGGATCACAGGCGTGGCCACCAAGCTGGTCTACCTCATCTTACCTGACATTGTCCATTTGCACTTTATTTTATTTTATTTTTATTGTTGGGTATTCATTGAGAGTTATTCACCAGGTTGCAGTGATTGCATTTGTTAGGTAAAGTCCCTCTTACAATTGTGTCTTGCCTCCAAGCAGTGCATCACAACTGAAACCCCACCCCACCTCCCTACTTCTCTCTCTCTGCTCTTCCCTTCCCCCACCCTCCTCCTTCCTTTTCTCTCTCTCTCTGCTCTCCCCTTCTCCCACCCACCCACTGTATACTAGGTTATTAATTGTCCTCACATCAAAATTGAATACATAGGATTCATGATTCTCCATTCTTGTGATGCTTTACGAAGAATAACGTGTTCCACTTCCATCCATAATGGGATTGTAGGATCAAACGGGAGGTCTAGCTTGAGTTCTTTGAGGGTTTTCCATACTTTCTTCCAAAAAGGTTGTATTAGTTTGCAGTCCTACCAGCAGTATAAAATTGTTCCCTTCTGCCCACATCCATGCCAGCATCTGCAGTTTCGAGATTTTGTGATGTGGGCCATTCTCGCTGCGGTTAGATAGTATCTCAGGGTGGTTTTAATTTACATTTGTCTGTAATTAGGGATGATGAGCATTTTTTAATATGTTTGCTAGCCATTCCTTTTTAGTTGGGTCTTTTCCTGGTTTCAGTATCAGGGGATGCTTGCTTCGTAGAATGTGTTGGGGAATATTCCTTCCTCTTCAATTTTTTGGAATAATTTCTGCAGTATGGGAATAAGCTCTTCTTTGAAGGTTTGATAGAATTCTGGTGTGAAGCCACCAGGACCAGGGCATTTTTTTTGTTGGGAGATTTTTTATTGTTTCTTTAATCTCTGTGCTTGAAATTCTTCTGTGCAGGGGATCTATTTCTTCCTGGCCAACTCTAGGGTGAGGGTGTGATTCCAAATATTGATCAATTTCCTGGGCATAGAGTTCCTGGTAGTATTCAGAGATGATCTCTTGTGTCTCTGTGGCATCAGTTGTTATTTCTGCTTTATCATTTCTGATTGAGGTTACTAGTGATTTTTCTTTTCTTTTTTTTTTTTTTTTTTTTTGAGACAGAGCCTCAGGCTATCCCGCTGGGTAGAGTGCTGTGGCATCACAGCTCACAGCAACCTCCAACTCCTGGGCTCAAGTGATTCTCCTGCCTCAGCCTCCCAAGTAGCTGGGACCACAGGCGCCCGCCACAACACCTGGCTATTTTTTGGTTGCAGCCGTCATCGTTGTTTGGTGCACCCCAGGCTGGATTCGAACCCCCCACCTTAGGTCTATGTGGCTGGTGCCTGAGCCACTTGAACCACAGGTGCCAAGCCGATTTTATTTTTCTATTTCTAGTTAGTCTGGCCAAAGGTTTATCTATCTTCTTTATTTTTTAAAAAAACCAACTCCTTGTTTCATTAATTTTCTGAATGATTCTTTTGTTTTCAATTTCATTAATCTCCGATTTAATTTTGGATATTCCTTTTCTTCTGCTGGCTTTAGGCTTAGATTGTTCTTCTTTTTCCAATTCCATAAGCTGGCTTGTGAGTTTGTTGATGTGTTCTCTTTCCATTTTTCGAATGTAGGCATCTAAAGCGATAAATTTTCCTCTTAGGACTGCTTTTGTTGTATACCACAGGTTTTGGTAGCTTGTGTCTTCATTGTTATTATTCTCAAGGAGGTTGATTTCCTCTTTTATTTCTTCTTACACCCAACTGTCATTCAGCATAAAGTTGTTTAATTTCCATGGCTTTGTGTAGGTTTGAACATTTTTGTTGGAATTGAGTTCCACCTTTAGTGCCCTGTGGTCTGAGAAGATACAAGGTAAAATTTCAATTCTTTTGATTCTGTTGAGGTTTGTTTTGTGCCCTAGGATATGATCAATTTTGGAGAACGTCCCATGGGCCGATGAGAAAAATGTATATTCTTTAGCTTTGGGATAGAGTGTTCTTATATACATTTATCAAGCACAGTTGTTCTAGGGTTTCATTTAAGTCCCTTATATCTTTGTTAATTTCTGCATAGAGGATCTATCCAGCTCTGTAAGAGGAGTGTTAAAGTCCTCTGTTATTATGGTGTTACAGGATAGCATATTGCTCAGACTAATTAAGGTCTGTTTCAAGAATCTGGGAGCATTTAAGTTGGGTGCATAAATATTTAGAATTGAAATGTCTTGTATTTTTCCCTTGACCAATGTGAATTGACCATCTTTGTGTTTTTTGACTTTAGTTGCTTTAAATCCACATGTATCTGAAAATAAGATTGCAACCCCTCTTTTCCTGTGAGTTCTGTTTGCATGAAAAATTGTCTTCCAACCCTTAACTCTGAGTTTTAATTTGTCTTTTGAGGCTAGGTGTGTTTTCCTGCAGACAGCAAATGGATGGCTTGTGTTTTTTAATCCAATCAGCCAATCTATGCCTCTTCAGTGGGGAATTCAAGCCATTAACATTTATTGAGATAATTGATAAGTGTGGTAGCATTCTGTTCATCTTATTTTAAGTCCTTATTTTGTGAGCGTCCATTGCTTAGTTTTGTCTTGCATCACTGTGGAAGCTAGGTTCTGTCCTTTAATTTCTGAGAGCTCCCTTCCAGCTCAGTGGCTTAGTCTGGGGCCTTAGATAACACTTAAAGTCATCCAAACTCTCTCCCAATTTCTCCCAAGGTAGTTCAACTGAGAGCTCAAGTCCCAAAAACAGAACAGACCGCAGTTTCGCTGCTGCTGTGATTACAGCTGTGGCAGTCACAGCCTCAGACCCAAGGAATGCACGCAACTACTTGCCAGTTCTCCACTGCTTTTGTCCTCCTTCCGGGGTCCAGAAGTCTCACTGTCTCCCTGCGTCCCCCAAGGAGTGCCATCTTGCTTCCTTCCCCACATGCACTTTAGTTCCTCCCAGCTCTGTCCACCACTAGCATCATTTGGTTGCTCCCCCTGTGCCAGTGAAGTGTATGGTTGAGGGCAGGAGCTACACCCTCTGCCCATAGCCTCCCTGGGGGTCCTTTCAAGTGGCCAGAGGTGCCTGAGGAGGCTCAGACAGATGGCTGGAAGCTGTTGAAGGGAACTCTGGTTAAGCATTTGCTAGACACCCTGCACTATGCTGTCATATCTTTTTTTTAATTAAATTTTTTCTGTTTTTTTTTCCCTTAATTTTTCTTTTTTTTTTTTTTTAATAATTGAATGGTAACTATGTACATTAATGCACTTCTAGGGTACAGTGTGGGGTTTTCACATGCAATCCGAAATACTTCCATCAAACTGGTCAACACAGCCTTCGTGTCATTTTCTCAGTTATTGTTTTAAAACATTTACATTCTACTCTTAGAAAGATTCACTTGTACCCCTAAATTTTTTCTGTTTAATTTGATTTCTTTTTAGTATTATTAGAGACAGAGTCTCACTTTATGACCCTCTGTAGAGTGCTTTGGAGTCACAGCTCACAGCAACCTCCAACTCCTGGGCTTAGGTGATTCTCTTGCCTCAGCCTCCTGAGTAGCTGGGACTACAGGTGCCCACCACAACACCTAGCTATTTTTCTTTTTATTATTTTTAGAATGCAGCTGTACATAGATAATTCCATAAATCTAACATTCTAGCATCAGAGCCATAGCACTCTACCAAGGGTGACATTGTAAGACTCTGTCTCAAAAAATAAAAAACCAAAACATACAGCAAAAACCATAGGAACAGAAAGCCTTAACCCTACACCAGAATACCAATTTATAAATTCCATGTTGGGAGGTAGAAGTTGCCTGTGACTGATGTACACCTTCACTACTTGCCTGGTGTCAAAGAGCCTGGAGAAGTTAAGACTGTTCAGAAGGAGTCGAGGTAAAGGTGGACTCCAACAAAAGGGAATAGAAGAATTTTTTTTTTAGATTATCACAGCCAATATTAACTCTTTATTGTTACTACAATGCATGAGTTATTTCATAACTTTTATTTTATTATTAATTTAATTTTTTTAAAAATATGGAACGCTTCATGAATTTGCATGTCATCCTTGCGCAGGGACCATGCTAATCTTCTCTGTATTGTTCTAATTTTAGAATATGTGCTGCCAAAGCAAGCACTTCTTATTTATTTATTTTTATTTCAGAATGCTACAGGGGTACAAACATTTTGGTTGCATGTGTTACTTTTATACAGATGGGGCCGAGGTTATAATTGTATCCGTTTCCCAGGTAGTGTGGAATGTACCTCTTAGGTGTGAATTTAACCATCCCCCCCCCCACCTGCTTGATCTCCATTGAATTCTAACTACCAATGTACACATGGATGTTGATCACTTAGTTCCAATTTAAAAGTGAGCAAGTGTGGTGTTTGTTTTTCATTCTTGTGATACTTCACTTAGGAGATGGAGCAATGGTCTCCAGTTCGATGCAGGTTGTTAAACAAGATATTAGGCAAAAGAACAGAAAGAAAGAAAGAAAAACGCAGGCCTAGCTGGGCACTGTTGCTCAGTGGTTAGAGTGCCAGCCCTGCACACCAAGGGTGGCAAGTTCAAACCTTATCTGGGCCTGGGTAGGAAAAAAAGGAAAGGAAAGAAAAGGTCTTAGGTTACCATTTTTTTATGGCTGAGTAATACTCCATGGAGTACACATACCACATTTTATTAATCCTGTCATGTATTGATGGGCGCTTTGGTTGTTTCCACATCTTTGTGATTTTGAGTTGTAGTGCTAATAAATATTCAAATGCAAGTGTCTTTTTTAAGGAATGATTTTTTTTTTCCTTTGGTTAAAATACCCAACAGTGGGATTGCTGGGTTAAATGGTATGTCTACTTTTAGTTCTCTAAGGTGTCTCCATACCATTTTCCATGGAGGCTGTACTAGTTTGCAGCCCCCCAGCAGTGTATACGTGTTTCTTTCTCTCTGCATCCACGCTACCATCTGTTGTTTTGGAACTTGGATAAAAGCTGTTCTTACTGGAGTTACGTGATACATCATTGTGGTTTTGATTTACATTTCTCTGATGATTAGAGACATTGGGCATTTTTTCATGTTTGTTGGCCATTAGTCTTATCTTCTTTTGAAAAGTTTCTGTTCATGTCTTTTGCCCCATTTTAACAGGTGTCTTTAATGTCTTCTTGCTGATTTGCTTGAGTTCTTTGTAGATTCTAGTTATCAGCCCTTTCATGAGATGTATAGCATGCAGTTTTTTTCTCCTATTCTGTAGCTTGTCCGTTTACTGTGTTAATTGTTTCTTTGTGCACAAGCTTTTTAATTTTTCAGGTCCCATTTATTTATTGTTGGTGGAGTGTAATTGCCTTTGGGGTCTTCTTCAGAAATTCTTTGCCAAGGCCAATGTCTCTAAGAGTTTCCAATCTAGCTTGTTCTATAATTCTTAAAAGTTTCATGCCTTGAGTTTAAGTCTGTTATCCATTGTGAATTAATTTTTGTGAATGGTTAAAGGGCATGCTTATAACCTTGACTCCATTTGTGCAGAAAACAAAGTATTTAAACAAAACATCTACCCCCTATTATCCTAAAATTAAAAAAAATACGTGACAAAAAAAATTTTGAGTGGTGAGAGGTGTGAATCATGTTTCAGTCTTTACATGTGGCTATCGAGTTTTCCCAGCACCATTTATTGAATAGGGATTCTTTCTCCAGTGTACATTATTGTCTGCTTTGTGAAAGATGAGATGGCAGTATGAGGATGGTTTCATATCTGCTTTCTTTGTTCTGATCCATTGATCTATGTCTCTCGTTCTTATGGCAGTGCTGTGCTGTTTTGTTTCTTGTACCCTTGAGATATAGACTGAAGTCTGGTAAAGTGATGCCTCCCAATTTATTCTTTTTGCTTAAGGTTGCTTTGGCTATTCAGGGTCTTTCTGATTTCATAAAAAGCATGAAATGATTTTTCTCTACATCTGCAAATAATGACGTTGGTATTTTGATGGGGATCGCCCTAAATCAATGAGTCATTTTGGGTATTATGGACATTTTAACAATGTTGATTCTGCCCCACAAGCATGAGCGTCTGTCCTTCTGTTTCCATCCTCTACAGTTTCCTTCCTCAGTGTCTAATAGTTTTCCCTGTAGAGGTCTTTCACTTCCTTAGTTAACTATATCCCTAGTTACTTTATTTGCTACTGTGAAAGGTATTGAACCTTTGATCTGATTCTCAGCTTGATGTTGTTGGTATTCAAGAATGCTACTGATTTTTGTACAAACGATTTTATAAACTGAGACTTTGCTGAATTTATTTATCAATTCCAAAAGTCTCTTGGTAGAATCTTTGTGGTTTTCTAGATACAAAAATCATATCTTCAACAAAAAGCAACAGTTCAACCTCTTCTTTTTCCACTTGATACTCTTGATTTCCTTCTCTTGCCTGATTGCTTTGATGAGGACATCCAGCACTATGTTGAACAGAAGTGGTGACACTGGGCAACCTTGTCTGGTTCCAGTTCTAAGCGAGAATGTTTTTCTCTATTCAGAACGATGTTGGCTGTAGATTTGTTGTATATGGCTTTTATAATTTTGAGGTATGTTCCATCTATACCTATTTTTTTTAAGAGTTTTTATCATAGCAGGTGCTGAATTTTGTCAAATGGTTTTCCTACATCTATCAAGAGGATCATATGGTCTCTGTCTTGGCTTCTGTTTATGTGGGGAATCACAGTTATGGGTCTGTATGTGCCGAAACATCTTGCATTTCTAGGATTATAATAAC